ATTTTTGTGATTTAAACTTCTACAAAGAGCCAGACAGCAAGTGTTTTTGGCTCTGCAGGCCACACGGACTCGGTCTCAACTCATCAGCTCCGCCATAGACTATAGGAATGGGCCCGGCACGCTTCCCACAAAACTTCCATTTCTAAAAACAAGCAGCAGGCTGGATTCAGTCCATAGGGCCAGAGCTGCCAACCCCTGCTTTAGACCAAGTTTGCTAACCAGAAAGTAGGTAATTTCCTTATTTAACAAATCAATCCTTGCTATCACTTGGAGGTTGTAGAGGTCTCCTTGTAACATATTATATGGATTTTCTGCCTTCCTAAAGTCGTATTTATTGTGTGATGGCATTCTGTTTCCTCCTGTCCCCAGATCCACATCCACCCACACTGTATTCACGGTGGTCTGAGGATTCAGACCACCTGCTCTCCCCACTTCTCCCCTCTCCTATCTATCTATCTATCTATCTATTACCTATCATCTCCATTAGTTTCTTACCTTTTAAAAAGTACTGTTTAGGGGCACCTGGGTGGCTCAGTGGGTTAAAGCCTCTGCCTTCAGCTCAGGTCATGATCCCAGGGTCCTGGGATCGAGCCCCGTATCGGGCTCTCTGCTCAGCAGGGAGCCTGCTTCCCCCTCTCTCTGCCTGCCTCTCTGCCTCCTTGCGATCTCTCTCTGTCAAATAAATAAATAAATAAAATCTTTAAAAAATAAAAAAAATAGTTTATATACCAATAAAACAAAGTTCCCTGTGCCCTCACCACCATTATAAAAGGGAGAGTGGAGGCTAGTTCAATTTCATGGCTTTCCCTTCAGGCGCCGGTTGCAGTATGGCCAGATGCTGATTACGTAATCCCACAAGCCTCAGTTTCCTCATCTGCAAAATGGGAACAAATCAATGCTTGCCCCATATAAGTGCTTAGAAGAGTGATTGACATGATAAGCGCTTAATATACATTAGCTGCCATTAGATCATGATGCAAACTTCGACAATACTGTAGAGGAAGGTATACAGTCGGGCGGTCAAACCACCTCCCAAAGAGTAACCACTGTCAACCTCGAGGGCGATGCTGTCCAGTTTTGTTTTCCTAGGCATTTATTTTTAGTTTTTAGATAATGGTGATCGTTCCTGAGTTTTATTTTTAACACTTTATTTTTTAAGATTTATTTGAGAGAGAGAGAGAGATTGCCCATGTGTGCATGGGGGCGGGGGAGGGACAGAGGGAGAGAGCCTTCAAGCAGACTCCCCACTGAGCACGCAGCCTGATACAGGGCTCCATCCCACCACCCTGAGAGCATGACCTGACCCGAAATCAAGAGTCAGACACTTAACGGACAGAGCCACCCAGGCGCCCCTAAGATTTTAAGTCATCTCTACATCCAACACGGGGCTCAAACTCACAACCCCGAGATCAAGAGTCAGATGCTCTACCGACCGAGCCAGACAGGCACCCCAATCCCTGAGTTATTTTCAGTGGTCTTCTTGAACATAGAAAAGGGCAGGTAGCCCAGTGACTGTGGAAGACAGGCCACCCAGGAAGGAAAGGAATCCTTCTTTCCTCCTCTGCTGTGATTCCCAGTGCTACGGAAGAGAATTATCAGAGCTCCGGACAGCTGTTCCTGGTGCGTTAGGATGCACCATGTCTGAGCTGGCCTGGCAGAAGTCACAGGTTCTGTCACCTCCTGGGGGTGGACTGAAATCCCGAGGGGCCCTGGGGTCCCAAGAGACATGAGAACTCAAGGACTGGCTGTGGGAAAACAGACTCAGCTTTCAGACTTCACCCCACCGCTCCTGCCCACCTCCTCCCTTTGAACTTGGGTCCAAAGACGGTGTGTAGATGGTCTGTGACTCTCCTTTCCCACCTCCTATTTAAGGAGGAGGAGGAGGAGGTTGCTAATGAAAACAAGCAGGTAGCCCACGACAGGGCACCTGGAGCCCAAGTTTCTATAGAAACCAAGTCATTCCTTCACCTTCCAACACATTTCCCTCGTCTCCTGACAAGACTCTCTCCTTGGAGACGTGGACAGCTCTGACATCCATCCTACAACTGTCCCCTCCGGCCAACCAGCAAACATCACCTGATGTGCACCTCGTAGGAAGAGCCAGCAGGTAGCTCATGTGAAGACTGTGCAGCCATTACCCAGGCTGGTCCTCGTATGAACCGTACGGGGTAACAACAGTCACCCGAGTTTCAGACAGGGAAGTCTAGCATGTGGTTAGCCATAGCAGCTTTGCACTCATCTTACACACAGACGGGGTGGCTTAACCGCCAGAATTCATGGTCTCACAGTTCTGGAGACCCGAAGTCCAAAATCAAGGTGTCCACAGGGCTGGTTCCTTCTGAGGGTTGTGAGTGACAGATCTGTTCTGGTCTCTGCCATTGTCTTGTAGACGGCCATCTTCTCCTGTGTCTCTGCCCATCATCTCCCCTGTGTGTCTGTCTCTGGGTCCTAGTCCTCCCACCCCAACTTTTTTTTTTATAAGGTCACCAGTCATACTGGATTAGGGCCCCGTCAATGACTTCACTTCAACTTGACTACCTCTGTAAAGACCCAATCCCCAAAGAGGTCACACCCTGAGGTACTGGGGGTCAGGCCGCCATCTTTTTTGAGGAGCCACAGTTCAGCCCATAACAGGCTCTCGAATCCCACAGGCCTGATCGGGTATCCTACTCTATCACTTACTGGCCTCATCTTCCGTGTGGGCTTCTGCGTGAGGACTGCATGAAATGTTTGGCACTTCCCGTGGTGCTTAGTCAGCCCTCGTTACTACTGATGAGGGAGGCAGATGCTGGGGATTCTCCACCTCAGCTCTCAGGCCATCTGACTTTCCCCGTGGCTGCGGCACATGCAGACGCAACACCTGGACGAGAACCTGCCCCTCCCGCCCGCCACCCCGTTCTCTGCCTGGCGATTTCTTGGTGCTACTGAAGCTTGCTCGGCCCACACAGGACAGTCCTAAAGTGCCAGACATTTCACGTCTCCAGGGGCAAACCTCAGGCCCTGAAACATAAGCACCGGGAGTTAAAATACCCCAGCTTCCCTGTCATGATCATTCTCAAGTGTATTCTCCGGGGTCCCCGGCATGGCTGCGCCCCCAGCTGCCCAGTGCTAGCCCAGGGAGCCTTCGTCTGCTTTTCTCCTTTCTCTGACTTGTTCTTCCATTTAATGCTTCCTGGGGTCCCCTTCCCGGTAAACAAGCAGCACCCAAGTTCTTGTCTCAAGGTCTGCTTTCGAGGTACCCTGAGATAACGAGAGAGAGTAGCTCAGAGAAGTTACATGGCTTGTGCAAGGATACAAGGTTAGGGGGGAGGTGAGTCCACGATTTGAACCACGGATTTTTTGGCTCCAGAGCCCATGGGCTTGGTCACTGGTATTCCCTCCTCTCTAGTGCCCAATGCCTGCTATGTTCCTATCCCCTCATTCTCTTTGTTCTCTCGTGTTTTTATCCTCTTTTTTTTTAATTTTTTTAAAGATTTTATTTGTTTATTTGACAGAGAGATTGAGATCACAAGTAGGCAGAGAGGCAGGCAGAGAGAGAGGGGGAAGCAGGGTCCCCGCTGAGCAGAGCCTGACACAGGGCTCGATCCCAGGACCCTGAGATCATGATCTGAGCCGAAGGCAGAGGCTTAACCCACTGAGCCACCCAGGCGCCCCTTTTATCCTCTTCTGTACAACCACGATAAGGAAGTCATTCTGTAGAAAAGGAAAATGGCTTCCTTCTTTTTCTCTTGAAAAACCTAACCTAACCTAGCCCTCCTGCCATCCCCCTTGACCTCCACGCCATATCAGGGCTCTGAGTCATTGGGACGGTTTGTTATGCAGCAGTGGTAACAGAAACACCTTACACTCTTCATGCCCCAGGTTCAGGAAGAAAAAGATACTCAACTGCATGGCACAAATAAATAATCTTTAATTTCAATAAATAGCTCCCTGTTATACCAGACAAGAGGCTGTGGGAAAGATACAGAAGCATCCAACAGGGAGAGATATATTCTAACTACACTAATTCCTTAGCATGAGAAAAATGACTTTGGTTTACACACAAACACAGAGATGCTCAGAGTATGACAAGGAAGGAGTCCTTTTGGATGGGAGTGTGGTGGCCATTTTGATCCAGGTAACTGCTTTTGCAAGTCTTCCATGTGCCACAATCACCATGAATCAGTCAAAAAAGGTTACTTTTGCTCTATCGTATTCTATTTACTTGACATACACACATGCTGTTATTGAAGGTGGGGCCTTGACAGGAGGAAATCAGGTGAAATTTCACTGGGGGGGGGAGCAGAGAGAAGAGAATGCTCAGGACTGAGGTCCTGCTGACCACCTTGCTCACTGGGAGGACACACAGGGACACACATGAGAATATTCCCCATGGGGAGGGTGGTTCTTAGGAACAAGCTAACACAAGGACAAATTCAGTCAAGCCAGGGAGGTTTCTTATACTGGAATATTTTTTGAGGCCATTTGGCTTCTCCAAATAGTCTGATCTACCACGTCCACTAAAGAGAAGACAAAGTACTTACACTTTCGGGGAAAGGTATCAGGTTTGAAGAACCCCAGGGAAGAGGAGCCCGTTCAGAAGCCACCCAATCGGCTGGTGTGCCTTTTGGGTGTGGGCGTTAGGCCTCCCACACACTGGCCAAGCTCCTGGAGAGTTTCATCTCGATGGAGGCTGGCACCCTTGGGGAGGCCCTTTCTCTGGCCTGAGGGTTTAAAGTGCATTTGGGGGAGGGGTATCAACAGTAGCAAGCACTGTCAGTAAGTCTCACAGCAGAGCCCACTCAGCTCATGACACAGAGATGGAGTTTCCAGAAAGTTCTCAGGCTTTGCTCATTGAGGGCAACCATTTTGTGTTCAATAGTCAGCTTCCTCTCAGTTCGGAGAGGAGTGTGTGTGTGTGTGTGTGTGTGTGTGTGTGTGTGTGTGTGTGTTGTGTGGATGTCATAGGCATGTGACACGTTTTCTGTCTTAAATTTTTTTTTTTTTTTTTTTTTAAACAAATGAAAGCTCCTTTTGCCGCAGCCCTCAGGTCACCTCCAGCGAGGCAGGAGACACGCGGTCACACTCGGCCCGGGACCTCAGGCTGTGCCACTGCTCCACGGCCGTGCGGTGAGTGTTTAGCATCCGCCGCCAGTGGTTGGATTCGGAGGGGCCCGAAGAGTACTGGCCGATGACAATCCTTCCGATGAAGTCATTGCTGCTCTTCATGTTGTGGCCAAACACTGGGGAGCCAGAGGGACGAGGGCGGCAGGGAGGAGGTCAGAGAAGGAGAGAAACGGAACAGGGAGGCGGGAACAAGACAGAGGTCATTAGTCTACTTGTTCCTCAACTGCAGACACTGGGCTCGTTGCTTTTAGGACATCATCGGTTTCCTTTCATGGTAAGAATGCCCCACTTCCCTCATCTCATGCGCCCGTAAGTCCCTTCACTCAAGGTATACCAGATGGTCGGCCGTTCCTCACCACATCAGGCACATTCCCGCCTCCTGGCCTCCGCACTGACTGTTCCTGCTGCCAGACAGCTGCGTCCCCCACAACAGACAACTTTAAACTCACGGCCATTGCCCTACCATGCTGTGTACAGAGCACTACAGCTGGGGAGTTCTACGGGGACAGTCAGCCATCATGGAGTCTGGTTGAGTAGTTAACCCGGGGTTTCTAAATGGCGGCCACCATGGACGTTCCTTGTCACAGGAGCTGTCCTGGGCACAATGCTGAGCAGCACCTCAGGCCTCTATGCACTCGATGCCATGAGCAACCCCCTCACCAGCTGTCACAATCCAAAATGTCTCCAGATAGGGCCCAATGTCCCCTGAAAGGCCAGTTTATGCTGGAGAAGAGCCACTAGGTGAAGCCATGGGCCACAGGCCAGACATCCTCAGTGACCATTAGGCTAGCTCTGCGACCTGAGACAAGGGAAGGAATTTCCCTGAGACTCAGTTTCCTCCTACGTTAAAGAGGACTCTTGCCAGTACTTTACTTCAACTGTCACTGTGAGATTTTTGAGGAGACAATTTGTGTAATGTCTCAGCACACGGTACCTAGATAAGCACTCAGTGAAGGTTATACTGCGATTCTGACCCCAAATTTCTGTCTGGTGGAGCCTTTTATAAAAGAGGCTTTACGTTTCCTCTGTTCCAGGCAATGGAGGCAAGTTCCTGAGAGAAATGGCCATGGCAATTTCTTCTACCCCTTGTCGTACTGCGTGTCTCTTTGGAAGGCTTCTCTGTTAATTCCGATGCAAGCTTAATTTGTGTCTTTCAAGCCTAATGAGATGGTTAGCTTGATTTATCTTCCCAGCCAAGTTCTGCCTAATTCTTTATCTGCGTGTGGGTAGTCCAGGCATGCCATCTCGCTAACAGGAAAGCAGGCTGCGTCTGTGTTATAAATGAAGGACTGCAGAATGGGAAATATCACAGATTCACCCAGCATGAGCCGAGCAAAAGCGGGCTGGATCCCAGGAGGGAAGCCGATTATCAAATAAACCAGCTAAAATATGCAGCCAAAAACAGAGTTTGAATGCTAATGAGCCTCTATTCTCCCCCATGGGGCTCACATCAAGAATTCTAAATGATAAAAATGGGGGAGGGGGTGAATGGGGGGGAAGAAAAGAAAAGTGAAAAAAAAAAAAAAAAAAAACCAAAACCCCAAGAAGACCCAGGGTGAACAAGACTAGCCTGTACCAATCAAGCCCACTACCACTCTGGTGTCCAGTACCTGTCAGCAACGTGGACAAAAATTGGACTGTGTATAGTTTTTGTAACTTGGTGAAGTGTTTGGTACGCACAGGGGGACCTTGTTTACATGAAGATCCCTTACAGAAGGGGAAAACTAGGACAGGAATCTTCGCTTAATAAAGAACATTACTAAGGAGCTCTCTGAGGCATTCCAAGGTTTTTTTTTTTTTTTTTTTTTTTTTAAATTTTTTTTTTTTTATTTTTTTGTCAGAGAGAGAGAGAGAGAGAGAGAGAGAGAGAAAGAGGGCACAAGTAGGGAGAAGGGCAGGCAGAGGGAGAAGCAGGCTCCCCACTGAGCAGGGAGCCTGATGTGGGGCTCCATCCCAGAACCCTGGGATCATGACCTGAGTTGAAGGCAGATACAACCGACTGAGCCACCCAGGCATCCCTTGAGGTTTTTTTTTTTTTTTAAAGGTAACACTCAGGTTTGTTTTGAACGACGCCTAGTGGGCAGTATAAGGTTTGAAAACAAGTTAGACGAAAATAAGTTACTGGAGTCCCCTTCTCTGTGGGCCTTGGTAAAGCAAGATCCTAGCAGGAGGCCATTCCAGGCTCTGTCTGGTGTTCTTCCTTGGGGGCAAAATGTTCTATCTTCCTATGCCTCTCCAAAGCTCAAAAATGAAAATGCAGAAACAACCTCAGAGATGAGTGTACTTTCCCCTTGGGAAAAAGGTTTTAGGAAAGGAAATCTCAAACACTCTCATGTATTGTTGGTGTAAGAGGAAGCTGGTTCAACTTTTAGGAGAGGTTCACAGTAGCTACTCAAAATAAAAATGTTGTAACTTGTGATCCAGCAATTCTATTTCTAGGAATTTATCCCATAGAATTATCTGCACAAATGGACAAAGATATACATACAAGGATATTCTCTGAATATTAGATATTGGATAATACCTGGGTATTAGAGCCTCTAAGCTAAATCTGGTCCACTACCTGTGTTTTGTAAATGAAGTTTATTGAACTCAGTCCAACCCATTTATTAACACAATGTCTACGGTTGCTATTACACTACAGAAGCAGAGTTGAATAGGTGCAAAAGAGACTGTGTGGCCCACAAAGCTGAAACTATTTTCTGTCTGGCACTTTATGGAAAAGTTTGCCAACTCCTGCCCTAGAACATTGTGAGAATGAAAAATGTAAATGACAAAAAGTGTCCACAAAGAAGTGTACCTGTGGCTGTGGTGCCCTGTATGCCCACTCAGCCCACCCTAGAGGCTATCCCCCCCAGCTCTCAAGCACCCAGAGCTCTCACCAGTCTACACCAGCTATGCCTTATGGTGGAGTCTTTGGGCCACTCAACAGCAGTTTGACTGCTGCAGGGGATGGAGACTAGAGTCAGCCACTTGGATGCCTACGGGACAGATCACCTGATCAATATCCGATGCCAACGCTTGTGTGGACCTCCCTAGATGGCAATCCTTCAAGTGTGTCTCCCCACATCATTCGTGGGACAATGAAGTGCTGTCCTCACAACTCCACTGGGAGAGGGCAACTGGAAACTCATTACCTGTTCTCTCCTGCACTCTGCCCTCTGTACCTCTTTCCTTTGCTGATCTTGGTCTGTTTCCTTTTTCTGTAATAAACTGTAACCATGAGTGTAATAGCTTAGCTAAGTCTGTGAGTCCTTCTAGTGAATCACTGAACTTGACGGTCTCGGGGATCTTCTAGGCTGCAGTGACCCACTCATCAAACATCCCTGATTGGCTTGCCTCCCTTTTCCATTCTCTTAGCAGTACTTCCTGGGGTGACCTCCTTGGTAGCCTACCTGAACCCAAGTCATTGTCTTAGGATCAGCTTTGGGACGCATCCAGACAAAGACTGGTGGAAACTAATTAAATAGTTTCTGATGTAATAATACCATGGAAACCAATGTTGCTGTCAAACGAGATAGATCTATATATATATATATGAAATAGAAAAATCTCCAAGACATATTGCTAGGAGACAAAAGCAAGTTGCAAAATAGTATATATAAACACAATCTCTTTTTTGTTTAAAAAAAAAAAAAAGTTAATATATAGAATAGAAAACTATCTGGAGGAATTTCACCAAACTGTTAAGAATGGCTCTCTCTAGGGAAGGGAAACAGGGAACTTTCTGCGTTTGGTATTATGCAAGTATGGTTCGCACTTCTTACAGCACATACTGTTTTGGAAAGAAAACAAAAGAAAAAAAAAGTTGTCATTAGAGAATTCACATCTAAATCGCCAGAAGGGAAAGAAGACTAAAAGGAAGTCTAATATCCTACGCTCCTTATCCCCACTTGCAAAGTTACTCGGTGTGGTGAATCACTTGGCCCTTGAAAGGTAGGAGCTCCTAAGTGATTCAGCCTTTCGATGGGAAGCAGTTGCGGCTGTGACCATCTGAGTTAATTGGCAGGCTTCGGCACTTGCAAATCACTTGGTAAAGTTATGGCAATCTTAACAGACTTTTAAAAATCAAACATTTGAACTTCAAGTTATAATAAAGAATAACACTAATGACTTCTATGATAAAAGTCCCCTGGGAGAATATCAAGATTTGCCATCACTGTAAATTCCAGGGAGCATGTTGCTGGAGAAATGGGGAATTAAGACCGGGTATCTACAGAATCCGGAGAGGGGCTCAGAGACACAGCGCCAGAGACCCCTAGCCCTCCATTTGATAGATAAGGAAACCAAGTCGCTGAGCTAGTTGGTGATACAACTTGAAGTATTTGCAGCAAATACCCGGGAAGGAAGCCAATTTTTTTGTCACTAGATCCCTACCATCCTCCTCCTCCTTAGAGACAATCACAATTAGAAATTTTGTTGCAAGGCATCCCCAAATATCCCTACTGGTGGTTACGGGGGACTCATTCTACTGCAGTCATAGTGTCATTGCAGAACCATGTACCCTAGTCATCTGGAAGCAGCTTCCTGACGACCTGCACAATCCAGAGAGCAGCATAAAGGCATTGCAACGATCAGAACAGGTTCAGAATTTGTGCACGAAACCCATGGAGAGGGCTCCCCATGTTTTCCCCGAGAACCTACATAATCTGAATAAACTTGGTCATCTCATTTCTGCAGTAATCTTAATTTCTGCAGTAATTAATTTTTTAATTTAATTTTTTCAAGATTTTGTTTATTTATTTGAGAGAGAAAGCACAAGCCAGGGGGAGGGGTAGAGGGAGAGAGACAAGCAGACTCCCCACCATGCAGGAGGCCCGAATTGGGGCTTGATCCCAGGACCCTGAGCTCACGACCTGAGCCGAAAGCAAGAGTCGGACACTTAGCTGACTGGGCCACCTGGACACCCCAAGAAGTTTAAAAAGTACAGCAGAACAGGGCCATTTGGTGAAGGGGCAAACAGCCCTGTATTCCCTCACAGAGCCAAAGTATACTCAACCATATCATCATTTATTTTTATAGTCATGACTCAATCAGTCAGAAAGCTCAGGGCTCTGGTTAATGGGTCAAAGGAGGTGTGACAAGTTCTCTATCAAACACAGTAAAAAAATGTGAA